CATTACAGTATAACTGAGAGCTATCAATTTTAACATTTTTTTGATTTTAAAAAATTACTTCTAGTGAACTTAAAACAATCTTCACATAAACCCATTATAATAAATGTCATATTTACCTGTGCCCTTCAGCAGAAATATACAGAAAATGACATTGAAGTTATCAAACACTAAATTCTAAATTAAATATAGGTGAATCCTTAAAGCTATAAAAGTTCATTTTTCCTCTTTTTTTCTTTGTCCTTTGATTTATAGACATCACAGCAGCTGGTTATCAGGTTATTTTGGCTGTTATTGCTTTAAGAGCTGCCGCTGCTGAACATGATGTGGACCTGACACATATCATATTTTCTCTCAACTCTTTTTACCATTTCTGACCCACTTCAGGTCTTAAAGTCTCTATTAATGAGCTAACCAGTTAAATCGGGTGTGTTAGATGAGTGAGACTAGAAAGTTTTGAAAACCATTTCAGAGACATGACATGTTCTTAAATGTGACTCATATAAAATATATTACATGCATGCACAGTTTTAAGGCAGCTTTAATCGCCTTTTTGGTATTTCGCGCTTTGATATGAAAGGATACAGGCTACAGCGCGCGCCGGCGCCTTTGTGCATGCAATTGAAGAGCATGCGCTGCGAGCACAGTACCGTTTCCGCGCTCGCTTGACTCGCGCCTGGCGCTGAAGTGAAGTGGAGCGAGCGTCTAAAACGTCTCGCATTCTCGGTCGTTCTGCGACTGAATAAATGCATTGCTTGTCAACAGAAAAAGTAACAGAAGCAGCAGTTGTGAGTGGGGTGGCCAACCCTAGCCCCACCCCTGCGTTAATTGCGTTAAATATTTTTAACGTGTTAAACTGAAAAAATTAATCGCCTGCGTTAACGCGCTAATTTTGACACCACTAATTATTATACATAATATTACATTATAATAATATATTTAATAATACATAATATTATAATAATAGTTTTAAGAAATGTAACACATTTTTGATAATTAATTCGTGTTTTATCATACTGCATTTGCACCATTTTTTAAAGCAATAAACCACTCAAGGCTATGCATTACAATGATTTTACCACGGTTACCCCTTACCTTTACTGTAATACAGAGCTTCTCGTGGCTTGCTGCTTTAAATTAGAATCCAGGCATCACTAATCACTGAGTTGTGGAATAGGTGTGTGTAACAAACAAAGACAAACAGTAGCTGCATTCCTAAACAGTTGGGACGTCTCGCAGCGTTCCTGGAGAAGGGTGAGACAGGCGCGTGGTGTTCCTGTCCTCTCCATCTCCCCTCCTCCTCCTCCTGCAGCCTAGTCACAGCACTTCATAGCTCATTAGTGCTGAACAGATGCTGGGGAGAAAGTTGGCACGCAATAAGCCCTCTCTTCATATTGCACTGATCTGTGAGAGATAGCTCGCGACTGAGGGATGCCTCACACTGACAGTTGGCAGATGAAGTTAATCAAAACAGATTAAAAAAAGAATAAAGGAGAGGCAACAAATCTGACATCCTTTATAGGGTATAATAATGAAATAAATTATCATATTCTGACAGCACAAAGTTAGTGCCGACAACCACGAATGACAGCCTCCAAATAAATCATTGAAGTATTGTGAACAATGAGAGCAAGAGAAATACTTTGACAGTTCACGGCTGCAAGAGCTGAAACTAGTGACAAAACTTCATTAGCAGTTATGCCATATTGAAACAGTTCTTATATAGAAGCATATACAGTGGCCACAAACAGTATCTGGACACCTAAATAGCACTTAAAAGCATGTCATTATCATTGAAATAGATATCACAATTTCAATATTGGCACACAAATGACGCTAGAGTTAACTAAATTCACTCTTCTTCATTTTTGCAATGACTTATTTTCTGTCACGGTTATTTATAGTGAAGTCAGTTCTCCTGTAGTTCACAGACGAACCACAGTTGTGTCACATTAACTATGAACGTGTGTGTGTGTGTATATATATATATATATATACTGAACAAAATTATAAACGCAACACTTTTGTTTTTGCTCTGGTGGACATTCCTGCAGTCAGCATGCCAATTGCACGCTCCCTCAAAACTTGCGACATCTGTGGCATTGTGCTGTGTGATAAAACTGCACATTTTAGAGTGGCCTTTTATTGTGGCCATCCTAAGGCTCACCTGTGCAATAATCATGCTGTCTAATCAGCATCTTGATATGCCACACCTGTGAGGTGGATGGATTATCTCGGCAAAGGAGAAGTGCTCACTAACACAGATTTAGACAGATTTGTGAACAATATTTGAGAGAAATAGGCCTTTTGTGTACATAGAAAAAGTCTTAGATCTTTGAGTTCAGCTCATGAAAAACGGGGGCAAAAACAAAAGTGTTGCGTTTATAATTTTGTTCAGTGTATATATATATACACACACACACATATATATATAAATGTGTTTTTACTTAAATAAAAACATGCTTGTGCATCTTGAAAATAAATGCGGTTTAAAAAAAAATATATATATTTTTTTTTACAATACAATAATATTTTTACGTTTTTAAGGGGTTTATTGTACAACAATGATTGACAGACTGCATATTATACATATTTAACTTAAAATAATTTTAATATGAGAGATTAAAGAGATGCAGAGTGAAATTAAAGACAAGACACTTTGTAAATTAGTCAAATCTATAAGGTTTGGCAGTCATTAGACAAAGACATTCAAAGATAGAACGCAAAATCAAGTATTCGAGAGAGTTATGATGCATATATTCTGTGTTGTATATATAAATACACATACACACACACACACACACACACAAACACCACAATTTCAAATTCTGTAAGTAATTCATAAAAAAATGTCCTCAGTGCATCTACAGCCTCTTTTTGTACCTTTTTTTTTTCCTGAGTACACCCTAAAGGATTCAAATTAGTACTATAAACGTACATATTAGTATCTAAAGTGTGCCTATTAGTACCTTTTGAAAGGTTACCGTCCCAGTGACAGCTGTTGTACCTTTGTTTCTGAGAGTGTAGGGAACAGTGCGATGACCAACAGCAATTATTTGCTTTTTAACAAATTCACAGACAGTAAAAATGTCCTCAACATGACAATGAATTAGGTTTCAGTTCATGACAAAAATAGCTGGTAGACAACCATGGCGACTCGCGCCGTTCTCGCTGTCATTTACTTGGCGAACCCGCCTCGCACCAACCAACAATTTGGTCAAATTTACACTGCGATTGGCCGTGCAGGTGATAAGAGGTTGAGATGAACAGCTGGTAGCAGCCTGTGCTGGAGATGCTGAGCTGATAGCACTGACGTCTGCTCTCCCACCAAGACACCTTGGCCATCCAATCTCCCTTACCATCAAACTCTTATTACAATAAACCCCTAAACACCAGCAGAGGGGGGAGGGATGCATGGGAAGGGGAAAAGATGACCCAAAATGCCCTTTTTATCTCTCCATAAGGAGAGAGACAGATCCTTCAATAGGGCTAAAATAGTGGGAGAAGAGAAAATACATAATTTATCATCATATTATCGGAATATCCAGGCGGGCTAATAAAGAGAGTGCGGACTGACTATTTCTTGTCTTATCATGTGAAGTGGAGGATGGGGGAGGGATTATCAGGCTGGAACAGACTGCCGGCCTGGAATTCTAATGGTAATAATGGGGTCTCTGATGGTATATCTTCCCCAGCTTATCAAGCCCATTATCTGCTCTTATCGCCACAGTCATCGGGGCAAATTAATGGAGCTCTTTCAGTGCTCTCACTTTATCTGCCTCGCAGAGGGCACACCAGAGAATGGAACAGGCAAAATATGAAAATCCAGGGTGAATCGCCAGGGTTCAGATAACAGGACAAACTCAGTTCAATTGCGAACAAAATGCAACCATAAAAAAAGACAGGAGCGTCTCAACCTCTTTGTCCTTTACTGTGAGCAGGTTGCTGGCAAGGCTGTGCTCTTTACAGGTGCTACAGTCATTTCAAGAACTCTGCGCCGTGTGCATGTGTTTCAAATCACTCCAGAAATATGTGGAACACGTCTGCAGATTGAGATATCACTACAACTGCCTGCTGTATAATGCAGACCTTGAAAAGCAGAAAACAGACATGATGAGAGCTGATATGCCCGGACTGCTAAGCAAACAGTTTAATCACTACAGAAACTCCAGCGCAATATGCCAAGACTGAAAATAAATAAGGTGTTCTGGAGAGCTGTCCTTGTGTTACATTTCAAGTCTGCAGCAATAAACATTGAAATGTCACCCAGTGTCTTCCAAAAGCACTTCTCTGGAGTTCTAAGATGCATTTACAGATGTTTCGCAGTGCTTGCATTATTCAAAAAAAAACAAAAAAAAGTGTACACTCTAAATAATGCTCAAATACAACCCAGCGCTGGGTAAAATACGGACAAACCCAGGAATTGGGTTGTGGATTTTAAAAAAATCATCAATTGTTATTAATTAATTTAGTTTATTAAAAGCACTGGATTAAAAGTCACAAAAGACATAATGCACATACTTCACAAACACTGCATGCAGCCATTCAGACAAATTCAGGAGTTTCTAACTTTCCAAAGATCTCAGTTTTTGCCATTTCAATTTCGATATAAAAAAAAGGAAGAAGAACAACAATTAATGCATAATTCTGATAAACGCATAAAAGAGCCTTTGGTTTTTCTGATCCACATCTAACTGATCAGATATTCTTCATCAACAATCGATTCATTAAAAAAATGTCTTTAAATAAAACATCGACTGAAGCTGAACCTATACAAACTATGAAACTACTATAAACAACCTGTCCTGTCATCTGGAAAAAAAAAAGGCATGAGTGAAATCCGCGTTGGCAAACTCACGTTTGAATTGCTTCGGGTTGCTCTGTTTCCTCCGGGACATTCCTGCTCCGCGCGCTGGACTCGAGATTACACAATGATACCGCGACTCATCCAAACCCAGATAAACGCACTGCCTGTAAGACTCGGGTGTGTTTCGGTGTTTGTCTGATTCCAGCCAGGCTTTGCTGGTCTCGTCGTGTAGAGAGAGGGTTAAGTTGCGCTGAGATCCGGGCGCACACTAACAGAGCAGATGAGCGCGTGTTGTGCTTTTGTTGCAGGAGGCTTGAGCGCAGCAGTGCGCCGTAGAGCTGCAGCAGCGCTCACACACTCCAGACAGTCCACACACATTCACTGCACTCTGCTGTTTACTAGCTGTTTTCTCTTTCCCCTCGGGATGTCTGCTGCGGAGAAATATATGCAACTTTCCGGACTAGTAGGAGTTTTTTCGTTTTTGTTTGTGGAATGCAGTCTTGCCTTTTTAATTACAGCCAAGATTTATTGTTTTGATTGCCATACTATCTGGAAAGTTTAAGTGCAGAACAACACAATGTAAAAGTTTAAATTAAACCGATTTAAACTGTGTCTGAATACTGTGGCTGTGTATTATAAAATAGCGTACTTGCATACTATGCATACTATTTTTGCAGTATACAGCATGTATATACTTTGCATGGTTTGCACAGTCGTCCTCTGAGTCCACACTTAATGTAATGCCATAAACAGGGGTGCCGCAACGGGGGAAAGTTAGGACGATTCCAAGGGCCCGACGAGGGAGAGGGGGCCCCCGAGTCAATGCTGTTCAGGGGGCCCCTGGCCGTAGAATCCTCTGTGGGGTCCTGCAAGGCCACAAGACAGGAAAGCTGGGATTTGTGCAGCACTATAACCTACAATAGGCTACAATCTGCTCAATTGTACCTTTCCAGCGTGAGAATGAACCGAAAATAACAGGAACCATCATTTTTAACATGTCGTTGTTTATCAGATTACAAAGAGATGAGACTATTTTACATAACATTTGAAATCATTTTTATTTGTGACATGATGGCATGCTGAATTAAACACACAATGCTATGCATGTGAGAACAGTGTAGCATCTGAAATACTGCACTATAAAAGCAGGCTGTTTGCAGTGTTTACAAGTATTCAGTTCTAAATGTATCCCTAGTGAGCTGCCTACCTAGAGAGCATTTTTGGACCTGATCTTGGTGCGTTCTGATTCAGAAGGTGCAAAAAATGTCAATGAATATCACTTTGGTTCAGTTTAGCAGAGTAGGAATTACTTTAAAACATGTCATTTAACAATCAGGCATCCTTTTTCAGTGTATCTTTGCCTTTAGACAGGACAATAAAGAACAGCAGGAAAAGGAAGAGAGGGAGAAAAGGGAATTGGATCAGGAACATGGCAGAAGCCGGACTCAAACCCATGAGTACCACCAGGGCATGTTGTGAGCATGTGCCAACCACCGCGTCACAACTCCAAGATCTAGCTTTGCCTTTAACCTTTGTATTTATTCAGATCCAAAACATGATGAGACTCTTTGCTGCTGCTGCTGCTCAGAAAATTATGTGCAATGACAATCTAAATGAAAAAAACTGTTTTATTATTCTATCATTATTTATTATAATCTGTTTTGTTCACATGCTCAGTCATTTTAAGCCTAAACCTTTTGGGGAGGGAAAATCTTGATTTGTTTGTTATTCTGTAGAAGCACTCCAAAAGTGGGTTTTCACAGCAATCTATAGTACTGTACATTTAGTTCTGGAGCTAAAGCGGGTGTGAACGCCATAGAAGAACCATGTTTAGTTCCTCAAAGAACCTTTCAGTAAACAGTTCTTAAAAGAATCTTTATTTTTATAGTGTGAATAACATTTTAATATTCTAAAGAACCTTTGGTCCTACTTTATATAAGGTGTCTTTAACTGCTACACTCTCTGAAAAAAAGGTACAAAAGCTGGTGGTACCTTTTCAAAAGGTGCAAATATGTACCATTAAGACTTAAGATTAAGACACTTTAGGTGCTAATATGTAATATTTATATGTACCCTTTTGGGGTAAATAAGGTACTAATGTGTATCTTTTGAAATGGTACCGGCCCAGTGACAGCTTTTGTACCTTTTTTCTTAGAGTCAGTGTATGTACTTTTATGCTCCTCTTGTATTGTAAAACACTTTCGCTGCTACTGAGATGGGATATTGGTAAGGATAGGGACAGGTTTGGTGGTCTGGTTAGGTTTAAGGGTGGGTTAAGGTGTAAGGGTAGGGACGACAGTGTAATTATTGATGTATTACAGTTCTAATTATGCAGGTTTTACAATATACAATGTAAAAACATTAATGTGCACTATATGTGCATTGCATCAAATGATTAATTTATATGCATAACAGTTGATGACTCTCAATATTAAGAGGGTCCAAACCTTTTTCCAATTATCAAGAACCTTTTTTTCAGTGAAAGATTCCATGGGGTTCTTCATAGAAACATAGATGCCAATAAAGAACCTTTATTTTTAGTGTTCGATATACACAGACACATTGAAATTCCTCCATAGCCAGAAGACACATTTCTTAAAAAACAAATGCCAGAAAAGTGTGTCGCCAAAACAGTCCCAGTCTTGTTTGTAATTTGATGCATTTTCAGGCTATAGATGCTGAGGTTTAATGCGATGAGAATCATGTCTTCAATCTAAGGCTCAACTAAAGGATTTGCACCTCTCTTTTTATGGGAGATATCAATAGAGAATTGAGTTCCATTGAGACGCGGGAGCGAGCGCGATAAGGGCGGGGGCGCGCCGGAGATGGATTAATTATGAGCGAGCATAGAAAGCAGGCTTATCATCACTTAGCACAGGAGACAGGCTCACACGATCACAGAGCACGGATAAGACGGGAACAATGCGATGCTACCTTACAACCCATCGCCTTACTTTTTTATAATTAAAAACTAACATGCAATTATGCCGTATCTTGCTCAACCGAGAGGGCGATGTAAATAACTGTGCTGTAAAATGATGGCAGGGGAAAGACAGTCTATATAAAACAAAGAGGACAGAATGACCTCTGTGGAACAGAAGATACAGAACGGGTGAAAGTGCATGCGGCACTCTTACAGTAAACCACTTAACTTTTACAGTAACTCCTAAAAATAAAGCTTCTTCGGTGGTTCTTCGAATAGGCTCCTGTCAAAACGCATTATTCACTCTGTAGGACGTTTTTGAGCTGCTATATGGTTCTTTGGAGGGTAAGAACCTCTTAATGTATATATTCTTCAGATCAGACCATTTCAGGGTTCTTTTAAGCACAAATGTTTTTAAAGAACTAGAAAATTACATGTTCTTTGTATAAATGAAAACTGTCCCCTTACAATATCAGGCTTAGAACCCTTTATTCTTACTGGAAACTTTTTATTTATATATCTTTTTTTTTTTTTTTTGAGTGTTGAACAGATCACATTTTCATTCATCTGGACTGCAGTTGTACCCCATGTGAATAAGTGCGCTTAAATGTACCGAATATGCACTTTTAGTGTACTTCAAATCTTAAAAGTACATTTTGTAGCATTTTTTTACTTGTATAGGCTATATTTTATAGGCTATTAAAGAAATAAAAGACCACTGAACTTAAAGAGAGATACTTTCATGACTTTCACTTTCTGCTTAAGTCCTACTTAAGTGGGTAAAAAAAAAGCACTTTCAAATTCAGCTAATTGCTATTAATATAATTTTCCATCAGTTGTAAATAACATGCAGTTAAGTCTGAAAACATTACATCCATTCATGCTTAATTGTATATTTTTAAAGTATATTATTTCTGTAATAAGGTCACTTTTTCACCAGGGAAGGTCATTCTGGAATGTCTTGTCAAGAAACTTCAGTGAAACACTTACCGTTTTGCTTTACGTTCTAAATAAAGGTTCTGGATGGGCTTTTTCGTCTAATCTTGTCAAATATAATGCAAGAGCTGCATATTTCAGTGCCATGACAGTTCTTACAGCTCCACCTTTGCTTATATAAATGTCAAAGAAATTCATTATTAAGCAGTCCAAGGAGACTTTAACACTCCAGCTGAGTCTCAAGATCAAGCCCTTTATTTTGAACAGCAAGCCAGATCTGTTTACCTTCATTATATTCAGAGATTTATGAGCAGGTATGAAGGTATACTTCCTTCCGGCTTCATTCACAAGAGTGCAAGTGCTTGAACTTGAACTCTTTGATGCATTAATTATTCAAAATGGTTTATTATTAAGAGTAGAAATAGAGGTGTTTGATGCATCACCATGCACTTTCACTAGTCATTTAGTTGTCACAATATATATAAGAAAAACATATATATAACATGACATATAAGGAGAACAGCCATAGGGGTCAAAAATAATCATTCATGATGTTTTGGATGTAACATCACATCCTGAATGGTTAAAATGGCTCCTAACTATCCAACAAACAAGTCTGAGATCTTTCTCGAGGAACTACAGAGGCAGGGACAGTTCTGACTTCTGTCATACGGTTTTGCCGCGTGCATCTCTATGCATTTTTTTCCCCATCTCTCTGAGAAGATTGACTCGAGCAGGCACAATTAAGGCATAATTCATCCAGTTACTTTATCTGGCTTGTCTGAAGCCCTCAACTCCTTGCACCTACCTTCCATCACCTTCCCATTTCTGAAGACCATTAAAAGGATATCTGATAGAATTATAGTGTGAAATGGGGTAGGGTGAAGCCAGCGTAATGGGTTTTGCATATGTTTTCGCCTCTGGCCTGAGATATATTTGAAATGTATTTTTAGTTCATTTGATAAAATAAATTGGCAAAACATCATCCCCGCCAACCTTTTACCCACCTGTGTGCTATCCATAAAGAGAAAAAATACATCTAAAATGGCCAAATCTGGCTACAATAACTGTAAGTGGGCTTTAACGCCCTGCTAAAAAACAAAGCAGAAGATTATATTTACAGTAAGGCAAACACATTTAGTTTGATGTATTTGTCTCTATTGCTCCAACATTGTCTGCGAGAGATATTTGGTAGACAATGTTATCCTTTCCTTCAAATTGAAGGCATATTATGTGAACATATGGGTCTTTGGTGATAAGCTGTGAATGGCAAAAGCTGCTTCCTACTACCTCTGATGTTTACTTCTGTGGTCTTACCACATTTACTCAGTGCAGGGGGTGTAGGGAAACTCTAAAGGCTTGATTCAATTAAACAGGAAACAGATGCGCCGTCAGAA